TATATATATATATGTACGTATACATATGTATATGTATGTGTTTGTGTGCATATATACATTTATATGTGTCTGCGTATGTCTACATACATATATATAGACATATACATATACATGTATATATATATATATATATATATATATATATATATATATATATATATATATATATAAATATATCATGACTATTGTTATCATCGTCTTCTTAGCATTATAGATAGATGAAATGATAGATAGATAGATTGACGAACAGATAGAGAGGTAGATATAAAGATGCTTGTGTGTGTCTTCCATGCATATCCATATATTTCTGCATTTATGCATGCATAAATACATTATGCTATCAACATGCCTGCGGTCAGCAACAGCACTTACGGCTCACCTTCATGTTATTGCCAGTGACTATGCTGGCAACTGCACGCACTTTGGTGGCTTATAAAACGCCCGTTTCCTGCCTGCAAGAACAGTTCAGTCTACAGCCTGCCTGAAGAAACAACACATTTCGAGTCTACACGATGGTTGGTTGCCCTCCAATATCTTTATTCATTAATAATTTTCTATTTTGTCGATCTATTTATCTATTTATTTATTTATTTATTTATTTTTACTGAATTCTCGAAGGCTTTATTAAGGTTAACCTGGATAACTTCATTCTTTAGAAAATGTTAATTTGCCTTTGAAATATACGCAGAGATCAAGACTTACCGCTCTGGCATTTGTCAGTTTGCCTTCTCTTTGCGTATAAAATATATCATAAGTATAAGTGATCCTAACATGAATTTGCATTGCAGTTGCGCCTTCGCTTCGTCGTCCTTCTCGCTGCCTGCGTCGTGGCAGCCATGGCGAGCCACAAGTGCTCTCGTTACTGCCAGACTCCGACGAACGCTCTCGTGTGTTGTGGTGAGTGACCCGTGACCCTTGACCTCTGTCTTGCATGTTTGAGTAAAGACTAAGGATCATATAAGAAACATACGCGTTACAGTTATTTCAAGGAGTGAGACTGTAGGTCCAATTCTTTTATTCTATTCTGAGATAAATAGATACGCAATTATATTTATGGAATCACGAGGTATATGGACGTGATTATAATTACATAGATACATCCCATTGAGCTACAGCAAACCTATTCATCTGTAAAATGTTTGCATGCTACACACACCTTCCCAGCCGTCCTCACCCCCCCCCCCCACACACACATGATTCCTTTTTCTCATTCCTTCCAATTATTCCCTATAGATCCCCGCCTCCCCCCCGCTGCCCCGACCCCGCTCCCTGCTACGACTTCTTCGACGGCAACTTCCCCGTAAGTATTTCCGGCTCCTCTTCGCTCGGTTCGTCTCGAAAATTTCGGACGCTCTAGCTACCGGAGCTGGATGTCATGAGGAAATGTCATGACATTTATTTACTGTCTCTGAATATGGATATTTGGCTCAATATGTTCTTTATGATATTGCAAATTTATGGTAGTTGATTTTTTTTTTTTCATGCAATGGAAAACGACTAACGTAAAGAAAAAAAGGTTTCTAGAATAATCGGAATGGTGCTGATTAGTTTTCAGCTAAGTTCCAAACTGGCATCTTCAGAAATACGTCATTCTGAAGATGCAATTCCTCTTCCTCTCCTTCCTGGAGCTGAACAGAGGAAAGCGAGCCATCTCTCACGCACTCTCCCTCCTCTCTTGCAGTACTGCTACCACGACGACCAGTGTCCACCGGGCCAGAAGTGCTGCACAGACGGCTGTTCTCAAAGGAAAGTCTGTGTGCCCGTCTGAGTCATGCCCCAGCGAGTGCATGGCGCATGACACGAACTCTGAACCGACTGTTGAAGAACTGCGTGCATGACCATTTATCTTTTTCTTATTTGCGTTCATTCTTCTCTTTGTCATTTCCTCCTGTGGATGTCACGAAGAACTTTCTTCTAATGGTTTACCATCTCATTTCATGTTTCATTTGACTAATAAACTTGGATTGGAATTTGGTCTAGTGTTTTGTTTTCCATGGAATGGCTTGTGTGCATCAAATATTGTGATACACACACAGACACACGCACACAAAGGGAACATTTTCGAGAGGACCATACGTACTAAGCCGTGGGATGACCCAGTTGTAACGTGGTCGGAAGTACAGGCAGAGCGCAGACAATCGCGTCTGGCAGGAACAGGCATCTTGGTTGTGCTGAAGAGTCAGCAGACGTCTTGGGAAATTTATAGCAAGTTTGGCGTGGAATGTATTATGAAAAAGTGCGTTGCGATAGTCAGAGAAGCGAGACAAAGGATGAGGTATTTATATAGTATTTATATACCCGAGGCCTTGTGCGAAAATGTGTTAAGCTAAGAATAAGGATAACGTGAGGCCTACACCAGTACAGTGAAATTCCTTATTGAAATTCCTCATCCTCGGACGGACTCCTTTCCAAATGTAAGATTTTCTCTTAATAAACTTATATATATATATATATATATATATATATATATATATATATATATATATATATATATATATAT